ATCACTAGATGTACCTTTCCCAGCATATTCATGGGAGGATTTTAAGTCACCATGTTTATCGAATCAGGATTACATGGTGACGGCTGAGCAGATCAACTGTCCGGCTCTGCTGCCGAAAGATCCAGCAACCGCACTCCTGACGGAGATGCTAGTTCTGGCGCCTTACATGGCGCCGGAAAAGAAGGCCGAAAAGAATGCCACGGGGACTAGGAAGGGTCTCCGACGCAAGGTCGCACCAGACGCCTCATCCGAAGGCGATGAGCGTGCTCCTCCCATCAAGGGGAGGAGAAGAAGAAGAGGGTCGCCCCATCCGGGGAGGCCGAAGGGTCTAAGAAGGCGGCCGTGGGGACCAGGAAGGGTCTCTGGCGCAAGGCCGTAATAGGCTCGTCGTCCGAGGACGGCGAGGCAGGTTCCTCCCACGGAGACGGGGGGAAACATGAAGAAATTGCCCCTCCCCGCATTGGGGAGGAGAAGAAAAGAAAAGTCGTCCCACAGGGGGAGGCTAGGATGCCGAAGAAGGGAAAGACGTCCCTTCCGGATCACTCCACCATGGCCACTTACAGCAAGGAGGAGTGGCTGCCTAGGCGCAAGCCCCTGGCGAGATCGTAAGTATTTGTACTCTGTAATACTTTTCGTGTGACTTAACTTCATAGTTTGTTATAACGTCGAACACGCATATGCAGTCCAGCCAGGTCCCATCCCGAGGTATCCTCTTCGGATGGGTCTCCAAGTGATTTGGCAATGAATTTGCTCCCGACGGCCACCTCCCCTCGGCCTGCGGATGACACGGAGGTATTGTCCCAAAGGATACCAGAGCAGGGGGCAGCGGTTCTAGAGATGCCCCAAGGCGAAATTCCAGACGCCGGGCACATGGGGGGTAGGATCCCCATAGATTATGCTGACGAGAGCCGCAACAAGTTGGGCTCCCAGCCGGACACTGCACTGGAACCTCCAAAGGTTCCGGATTTGGGTAGGCAGCCCCTCGCTAGGCAGGGTGAGCCGGCCGTGCCGATGACCTCCATCGCGCCGGAGGCGTCAGATAGTCTGCTGGAAGTGCTTCGCGATGCTTCCATTGATGAAGAGCACCATACTCTTATGAGTACGCTGATTCAGAAGGTTCGGTCCGCAAAAAGTGGATTGACTGAAGCCTGTACCAGCCTACTAACAGGCTTGGAGGTAAGTAATCAAAAGTGTGAGAAATTATCACCCACTAGACAGTAGCCCCCAATACTTTGTTTGGTTTTTGGAAGGAAAAGCCAAACGGAGGGTCAACTCTAAACCGCAGGAGTCTAACAGTATGTGTCTATGTGAATAAGCAGGCAGTGCTGCTTGCCGTTGCTGCCCGCACAGCGGAGGTCACCAGACTCGAACGGGACCTGAAGCAGGTCGAAGAGGAGCTCAGCCTCACGAAGAGGCAGCTCGAAGAGAACAAAGGTGAGTGATACCCCGTCCATATGTGATATGTAGGAGAAAAAATTGGCGACGCTAACAAAAAGTGTCATGATTTTTTAATAGGGGCCACGACCGAAGTGGCGGCCCTGAAGAAAGCGTTATCCGAGGCCGGAGACAAGGCGGCCGCGGAGCGTATTGAGCGTGAAAAGCAAGATGCTAGGGTGGGCGAGGTACAGCCAGAGCCCCAGGAGCTCGGCAAGAAGTTCGAGTCCTTGGAGCGTGACTTCAAGACGCAAGAGTCTGAGCTTGCAAAGGCCCTTCAGAGCGCGAAAGACGCCAAGGCCGAAGCCCAAAAGGCCCAGCAGGAAATCCAGGCAGCCAAGAAGATAGTGGCGGGTAAGGCATTCATTATGCAAAGCAAGCATGTGGAGGAGACATTTCTTTTACTTACCCAAATTCAGAGCTCTCCAGGGGCATTCGCAGATCTGCCACGAAGCATATCGGATGCCATGGAGTTCTACCGTGCCGAAGAGGGGAGCTCGACGGAGAAGCTGTTCTGGTCCCAGTATACTGGAGCCGAACACCCAATGCCTCTGAGTGACCAACTGAAGCAATTGGTCAAACTCCACAGGGCGGCCGAATTGGCCATGAAGGACCTCATAGTCCGGTGTGCCCTGGTGAGCCCCTGCCCGACAGCTACTTCGGCCTTATAAAGCGGATGGTAAATGTCTGTCCACGGCTTGAAGTTATCAATCAATCCATTTGTATTGAGGGTGCCCGCCGGGCCTTTGCCCGTGCGAAGATGCATTGGGCCAAGCTGGATGCAGAGAAGCTGGTGAAGGATGGACCACCGGAGGGCAAGGCGAATCGCTACCCCGAGAAATATTATGATGACGTTATGAAAGGCGCTCGCCTCGTGGCCGATGAATGTACCAAGGACATAATCTTTGAGTGAATGTACTCATGTCGTCTTTGTAATATGAAAACGAGTTTGTTTGCGCTATATGGCGCTTTGTTGATTTAAAATATTACCTTCTGTGCGGCTGTTTATAAAATTCTGAAAGTAGGCCAGTCGTCGGCTTCCGCCCCCACGTAACTAGTACTGGGGTGTTCGTGGAAAATCCAAACACTCTTTATCCAAATTTTTGGTCCTTTAAGGAGGTGTTTAGTGCACCGAACAAGGCAATCGGATTATGCGGCTTTATAACTCTCACTTAGCCATATAAGTCTACAATTTTAAATTTCGGCGAAGCCCCTGGAATTTGAAAAGCCGAATTGGGGCGCTATACACGCCTAAATCGGACAAGGCCGATTCCTCGCCTCAAGCGGAAAAAATCTTTAAGGATTTAAGACCTCTCGAACAGCGACCAGCTCTCGCCGCATCATGACGGTCAGTTTTCAGCTTTCTCAAGATCTGTCTGGGGAGAAAAGTCTCATCCTGGACCGCGTTGTTGTTGATGATTGAAGGAGCCATCGAGCCTTGCTGCGACGACACAGAGGAACTCCCAATCAAAGCACCAATGTCGGTGTCAAAACCGGCGGATCTCGGGTAGGGGGTCCCGAACTGTGCATCTAAGGCTAATGGTAACAGGAGGCAGGGGACATGATATTTTACCCAGGTTTGGACCCTCTCGATGGAGGTAATACCCTACTTCCTGCTTGATTGATCTTGATGATACGAGTATTACAAGAGTTGACCTACCACGAGATCGTAGAGGCTAAACCCTAGGAGCTAGCCTATGATTATGATTGTTCTCTCCCTATGGATTAAACCCTCCGGTTTATATAGACACCGGAGGAGGCTAGGGTTACATAGAGTCGGTTACAAAGAAGGAGATCTAACATCCGAATCACCAAGCTTGTCTTCCACGCAAAGGAGAGTCCCATCCGGACACGGGACAAAGTCTTGAGTCTTGTATCTTCATAGTCCAACAGTCCGGCCAAAGTATATAGTCCGGCTGTCCGGATACCCCCTTATCCAGGACTCCCCCACCCATCCCCAATCCTTCGGATTAGGCCTTGTGCTAATATATCCCTCCCGTCTAAAATTGCTCGCCATATCTGCGATGGGCGTGATCCCAACTCTGCCTCCAATAGATTGCATTGTGGGAAGTAAACGACCTTTAGTATTTTGAGCACTCAAAGAAGTTTCTTCCGTCGTGACTCTCCACGCTCGCCTAGCAAGTAGCGCTAGGTTAAAGATTTCCATATCGCAGAATCCTAGACCACCAAGGTGCTTCGGTTGAATCATTGTGTTCCAAGCAACCCAACTGGGTTTTCTCTTTCCTTCCTTGCAACCCCACCAAAATTTCCGAATAATTGATGTTATACTTTCACATAAACCCTGCGGCAGGCGAAAACATGACATAGAATATACGGTATTGCCTGAGCGGCCGATTTGATCAAGACCTCTTTCCCTGCTGCAGAAAGTAACTTCTCCATCCATCCTTTGATCTTCTCCCACACACGATCTCGTAGATATTTGAAAGTTCCGTTCTTGGACTGGCCAACATTTGTTGGCATGCCAAGATAACGTTCATTTAAGGACTCATTCTGAACATGTAAGGAATTTTTTTATCTCTCTCCTCAAAGGATTTGGACAGCCTTGACTGAAGAAAATTGATGACTTATCATGGTTAATACGCTATCCTGATGCATTGCAATAAGTGTTCAATAGGTTTGACACTGCAACCGATCCCTCTACGCTAGCCTTAAAAAGCAGCAGACTCTCATCTGCAAACAAAAGGTGATTTATGGATGGAGTTGTCGGAGCCACCTTAATACCTGCAAGTGATGACTGTGAACTGGATTTCAAGAGGCACGAAAGACCCTCTGCTGCAGTCAAGAATAAGTAGGGGAAAATTGGGTCTTCATTGGGTCTCCCTGTCGGATTTCTTTGGTTGGTCTGAAAGGCTCAAGCTTCTCACCGTTAAAAAGAACAAAAAAAAATACCGAAGAGACCATACCCATTACCTTGAGTGTGCTTCCAAATTCTGCACAACCAATTTCGGCCTTCGTCATCTATCGTTTACACTCGAGAGCCCAGTTGGTCCAGTCTATCCTCTGTTTCCAGCCTCTCAAAAGGGCCTCGGAGGATATCGCGGGCCTCATACGCGTACACTGACCTCGAAAACAGAAAACAGCAGCAGCAGAGGCAGTACGCCATGTGAACGCAGACCATTTAGGTAATCACTGATGTAGGAGTAAAGACTATTGCCAGCAGTGCGGTCGTGTAGCAGCTACTACAACCGAGATCGATCCATGTATGAAACGACAAAGACCGACAATCATAGTACAGCTAGTAAGTGTCATATATTAACCATCAAATAGTACGCTACTACTCCACTGATTGAGTAGCACTTCAAATTAAGGAGTATAGATTGCTAGCTGGCATACTAGTACTCCCTCCGTCCGATAAAACTTGTCCCAAACTTGTCTCTCAAATGAATGTATCTAGCACTAACTTGATGCTAGATACATCCATTTAAGGGACAAGCTTTTTCGGACGGAGGGAGTAGTACTACAAATCAAGCACAACCACTTCTTCCTGGATGGAGCGCCCGTGCCTGATCTAAAGGAAAGAAGGTGCCTGATCACAAAATGAAATTTCAGTGGCATCCATTCTTCTTCCTTGTCAGGAAGTCAACCAAGGTGATCCTGGGTGGAGCGCCCGTGCCCGATCTCTTCCTGATCGTCGTCGTCTTCCACAGCCTGTCCCCGCCGTACTCTCTCACTGTGCTGCTCGTCGTCTCAGATGCCACATTGTAGAACTGCAAGCATACAAATCAAGTGAGTGCTGAGTGATCGATACAATACAAGTAGTCTAGCCTTCAAAATTGATCGACGCTACCTATAGGTAATTAGCTATAGCCCAGGAAGCTGCGTATGCAAATTAAGAAGTGGCGATCGACAGGTCATCTTCTTACTTCTACAGGGCTTTCGTCAGTTGTTTTTAGTTACCTCGCACACGCCGTGTAGGAGCAGCCTCTGGAACGGGTCCTGGACATCCAGCGCAAGCAAGTCCCTCGTGTCTTGGATGAAGGCCCTCACTCGTTCCTATAAAATTGAATTGGGGACACTTTAATGCTAGCTGTACTAAACAACCAGGGAATCAACACTGACATAGAAATATGCACATGGCTTCCAGTTTTTTCATATAGACATGGCTGTCCAGTTGGGTAACTACTGTGGTTATTCCAGTTGGGTAACTGCTGCAATTACTTTGATAATATTGCCCAAAGATTTCATAGTTTTCAAAGAACACTAGCTACATGTGTTATATATTCACGCACAGAGCTGAAAATACATTGTACTTCCTCCGTCTCAAAATAAGTGTCTCAATTTTATACTAAACTTAGTATAAAACTGTACTCCCTCCGTTTCAAAATATAGTGCGTCCTTGGTTTCCGCACTTCAACTTTGACCATAAATTTAACCAACGTGTCCAACTGCGGCGGTAGCAAAATTCATACCAATGAATTCATATTCAAAAGAACTTTTCAATTGTATAATTTTTGCTCCTGCAGCAGTCGGTCTCGTTGTTCAAATTTATGGTCAAAGTTGAACCTCGGGAAATGTGGGCACACTATATTTTGAAATGGAGGGAGTACTAAAGTTAAGACAAAATTTAATACAAAGTTGAGACTTATTTTGGGACGGAGAGAGTATAAATTTGATTCAGAAAACGTAGGTTCAGAAGAAAACACAAGACAGTACACATACTTCGTACATCCGAAGCAGGTCAGGCAGGAAGTTCCTCTTGATAACTTCTCTAGTGTGGCGATCAATACGGTGCCAAGCGTTCAGCGCAATCTCCTCGTCTTCGTCCAAACGACTGTTCTTCCGATCCGTGCATGATTGTCTCATGTGAAATTGCAACAAGTTTGCCTATACACCATTAAAATTTGTCAACTGTAAATGACACATGAAGATAAGACACACATCTTGGTATAATTTATCTCTGCATCCATGCATTTAGGCCTGGTATATACTGTATTCTAGTATATGGTGGCGTACCTGAACATCCATGTCGATGGTCCTGAAGACATCCCATGCAGCAGCAGAACTTGTCATGCAGAATGCAGACAGGGGCAGCTCCTCACCTACATAACATGCGCGCATGCACATGATCGATCTCGATCAGAATATACATAGTAGTACAATTGAGCTGTGAGGTCGGCTATGGACCAGAATTTGTATGTTTGACTGACTGACTGATTGATTACCCCATGGTGGCGGAGCGAAGAGGCCTTTGATCTCGTCAGCGCCAAGACGGGGGACCAGCTCCAGCAGCAGGCGGTCGTTGAGCCACCGGCACGATCTCCTGTTGCTAACCTGCACATATTGTATACGGTGCGTTTTGGCATTTGTTAATAAGCAGCAGCAGATTCCTGATGCACACGAATTAATCAACTGCAACTGTACTCCCTCCATTTCAAAATATAGTGCGCCCACGCTTTTCGAGGTCCAACTTTGACCATAAGTTTAACCAACGAGACCAACTGCGGCGGGAGAAAAAAATATATAATTGAAAACTTCTTTTGAATACGAATTCACTGATATAATTTTTGCTCCCGCCGCAATCGGTCTTGGTAGTTAAATTGGCGGTCAAAGTTGAAGCACGGGGATAGAGGAAGCACTACATTGTGGAATGGAGGGAGTATGTAATACTACATGAGTAATAACTCCATCGAATTGGCAATTTTACTCCAATTACGTCCACGCACCATCGAGTTTTGTCATTGTTAACAAGCCATGTATGTACCTTGGTGGCGCCAATGTCGTCTTCCAGGGCCTGGATCTTGCTTTCGATCGTCGTCTGTCCAGTGAAGGGGGAAGAGCCGAACTGCTCCCTCTCCCTCCGCAGCAGGCCCGCAGTCGCCATGGATCCTTGGTACGAACTGTCGCTCTCTCTCTCTCTCTCTCTCTCTTTTTCAGGCGAAGGAAGGGCTTCGGTGGCCGGAGACGGAGACGGCGGGACAGAGCGGGCGCAGCGGAGTAGTGTGGTGCGACCGGGCCCCTATATGCGCACGTTTGGTTTGGTAGATTGAGGGCCACGGAACCGGCACGAAAGCCTACAAGGAGAGGTTGATTGAGGACCACGGAACGTCGGAACCGGCACGGATACGTACTGGGCCGCATATGAATTCATAACAAATCCGAGCCTGTCTCACCAGAGAAGGATGACACCCCTAAAAAAAACAGAGAAGGATGATAACGAAAAAAAATCGTGGTGGGTCTTGTTTACGGCAAATCCTTTTTCCTAGTGTAATGCGCGGAATAGTGAGCAAATGCGCACACCCACACGCACCTAAGCCAGGCCCGGTTAGGAAGTGACAGCGGCGAGGAGAGGGCGGACCGACGGGAAAACCCTATGCGGCGCTCTATGCGTCGAAATGTCGATGGTTCGCACGGGTTGCCAGAGCGAACGATGCAGTGGGCCGGCCCAGCGAAGTTTTCTTTTTCTGTAGAGTACTTCCACTGGTTTTGGGAACCTTCTAAAGGTTCCTGAGCCGGGTTTTTCTTTCTGATTTTCTACTTCTGGTGTTTTTCGGTTTTCCTTTTTTCTTCTTTTTTCTTTTTTCTTTATTTTTCCCTTTTCCAGTTTCTTTTCTTTTATTTCCTCTTATTGTTTTTTGGTTTTCCTGTTTATTTTGTTAAAACTTTAAATATTGTTCAAAATTTTCAAAAGTGTTCCTTTTTCCAAAATTTGTTCACATTTTCCCAAAAATGTTTAGGAATTTCAAAAGGTATTCTCTTTTTAAAAATTTGTTCACATTTTCCAAAAAAGTTCAGGAATTTCAGAAAATGTTCTCATTTTCAAAATTTTGTTCACAATTTCAAAAAATGTTCGCATTCTCAAAATTTTGTTCACAATTTCAAATATGTTCATGTTGTAAAAATGTTCTCATTTTCAAAATTTTCTTCACAATTTCAAAATCATTTTCAAAATTTTCTTCACCATTTCAAAAATGTTCACATTCTCAAAATTTTGTTCACAATTTCAAATATGTTCATGTTGTAAAAATGTTCTCATTTAGAAAAGTTGTTCACAAATGTTTAAAAAAATGTTCCTATTTAAAAAGAATTCTTCACAAATTTCAAAAAATGTTCACATTTTCAAATTTTCAGGAGTTTTTTCAAATTGATCAGTTTCAATTTGATTCACAAATTTCAAAATTGTTCGCAATATCAAAAAATGTTTGCATTCTCAAAATTTTTGTTCACAATTTCAAACATGTTCATGTTGTAAAAATGTTCTCATTAGAAAAATTGTTCACAAATTTCAAAAAATGTTCCTATTTAAAAGAATTGTTCACAATTTTCAAAAAATGTTCACGTTTTCAAATTTTCAGGAGTTCGAAATTGGTCAGTTTCAATTTTGTTCACAAATTTCAAAAAATGTTCAGGCGGTTCAAAACATGTTCCCATTTTCCAAAATTGATAAGCAAATTAAAAAATGTACCGCCTTCATTTTTTCAGGAGTTTTGAAATTGTTCAGTTTCAATTTTTTGTTACAAATGTTAAAAAATGTTCTTGTTTTCACATTTTTCAAAATATGTTCATTTTTTGAAAATCTGTCTTGAATTTCAAAAAATGTTCCTGTTTCAAAAAAAGTTCCTGATTTTCGAAAATATGTCAGTTTTAAAATTTTGTTAGCCAATTAGCAATTTGTTTGTGTTTCACAGATCCCTTCATTTTTTTTCAATAAAAAGTACTTTTGAAATTCAAGATATAATTTGGATCTGTGCTGTGGTTGATTCTTTAAGAATGGCGCTGCTATAGAATTAGTAAGATGTGCTAGGTCAAGTGGTAGTACCACCTCAGGTATACTATGAGGTCCTGGTTTCAAATTCATATGACGGCGGTCTTTTTTAAGCTACAGCGCGCTCTCGTTCGCCATATTCATGGGCCGGCCCAGTTGGACACCTACCTGTGCGAAACCCCGTCTGTTTGCCGCAGCAAGCGGTGAATAGGAGCTCCCGGGCCGACGGGAATTTCCTATTTAGCGCCACAGGCGCCAGCTAACATGCATTTTCGTTAACTGGCGCCTGTGGTGTCCGTAAATGGGTCGTCCCATCTAGGCGCTGGTTGACATTTTCTTTTTTGAAAATTCTATGAATTTTTTTGAATATCTATGAATTTTTTAAAATTTTGAACAGTTTTTTTTCAGGTTGAATATCGTTGAACTTTTTTGAAATTTGATGAGCATCTTTTTGAAAATGGATGAAGTTTTTTTTATCTATGAATTTTTTTCAGTTCAGTGAACTTTTTCTAAAAATACATGAACTTTTTTTTAATTTCTATGAACTTTTTTGACATTTAATGAATTTTTAAAAGTTAATAAACTTTTGCTAAATTGGATGAACTTTTTTTAATTTGAATGAATTTTTTTCAAAATTGATGATCATTTTTAAAGATATGAACTATTTTTCAAATGGATGAACCTTTTTTCTTTAAATCTGTAAACATTTTTGATTTCATATTTTTATTTTGGTAAAAAAACAAAAAAAACTGGGGTAGCACGCTAGTGGGCCGGCCCATGCTAGCAGCACTGCAGGCGCTGGATCGTTAACGGGCACCTGCAGCGCTGCATAGGAGCCCCTGGACCGACAACGTGGAGACAGAGGTGGAGCAAAGCATTAGAGCAACTCAAATGGGGCGACCCAAACGGATGTGCGCTTTGTCCGCTTTTCGTTCATTTGGGTCGGCCAAGCGGACGTGCGCGTACGCATTCTCAAATGGGTCAGCTTGACCGCCCAACGGCAAGCTGCCGACGCGAAAAAAAGAAAAACTCGCAGAAAATAAACATAATTAAACATAAGTGGACGGTCAACTGCCGGCCAAAGTCCACTTAAACCTAATTAAACATTAATTAAAACAAAAAAAAGTCTATGCCGCCCCACACGCTGCCCTAGACGTCGTCGGCCTTGCCCTTGCCCTTGACACCGACGTCGCCATCGCCGCCGGTGAGGTGATGAAGACGGGAGCAGGGGCCAGCCCATCCGAACACTGCCAGGTACGCTGCCAGGGCCGCCTCCTCCGGCGTCTGCTTTGGCGGCGGCATTGCGGCTTGCCGCACGTGCTCCTCCTCCTCCTGAAGCCGGAGCGCCTCCGCGTCGCGTCATAGCATCTCCTCGTAGCGCATCTGCCGCTCGCCATTGGCCTGCTCCTGGAGGAGCTAGTGCTCCTTCCAACGCTCATGGTGGACCGCCTCCTGCTCCGGTGTGGCGGCGAAGTGGATAAGAGGCGTGCTCACCTAGTCGCGGTATTGGCCCGTCCATGTGTAGGCCTCCTCCGGCCAAGTAGGTGGAGGCAGGGAATGCTTTCACGTTGGCTCCGGCTCCGGCTCCGGCTTGGGTTCGGCGAGCGGCGGCGGTGGTGGTGGCGGGACGAAGAGCGAGGTGTGGACGGAGTCCTCGGCCGCCGACAAGGCAAGGGCTTGCTCCAGCCCATCCCAGTGCGCGTCCTCCTCGAGACGGCTAGCCTCCAGCGCATGCTGCAGGGCCTCCTCGAGGGCGGCTTGGTACTCCGCCTCCACCTCCATTTCGTCCGGCTCTACCCGCGGGGGCGGCGGAGGAAACGGCGGCGGGACGACGTCGACGCCTGAACATCGTTGCTCCTCATGTTCGAGGGCAAACCGAGCCTCCCAGTTGGGAGAGTCGGTGGCATACTCCGGCATCCGCCGCTGCTCCGGCATGAGCTGCGCGTGGCGCCTGCACACCTCCTCGTCGTGCGCTCGCTCGGTCCATGGAACCGCCGGCACCGGGATCCGGTCCGGATCCAGATGCCGGTGGTGCGGAAGCGTGATGTCGGGGTAGGGCAGCGGCTGCATGTACTCCCAGTGCCACCGCGCTTGGTGCACCGAGATGTGGAGGTGCCGGCGACCTGGGCAGAAATGCGTCGGTGCCGGAGGAGGAGGGGGAGGAGGAGCACGGGAGGACGAGGCGCCGGGCGTGCCCTTGCCCTTGCCCTTGCCGTTGGTGTTGCCGAAGAGTCCCATGGCGATCTAGGGTTTGCTGTCGCCAGTGAGGAAGCAAAGGGAGTGGTTGTAAGGGCTTTTTTATCCCTAAGGTGTTTTGGTGATTGATGACAATACTTTTGCGAACTAATCGTGTGCCTTGAGTATTTCAGTCGCTTCATCGCTAGGCACAAGACGGTTTGGTACCCCTCGAAGACTATTGAAGACGGCGGTGTTCTACTTCTCTTTTGGTGGATTTGAGTTGTAGGATAGCCATACTATTTAGAGGGGGTCCGCGGTGGAAAGGTTCAGGTGGAATCATCACGTACACGTCTTCTCCCTTTGCACCGCCTTTCCCTTTGTGCTTTGGAGCATCCTCCGTTATCTTCATTGTTATGCAAAAAGAAGGATTCCTAGTGTTGCTATTCTGAGGCATGCGGTAGTACTGCTCCTAGGAGCGGTAGTACCGCAGGCCCCTGTGGTAGTACCGCAAGCCCTTGCGGTAGTACCGTAGGCGCACACGGTAGTACCGCTCCTATGGAGCTGTAGTATCGTGGCCCCATGCCAGACTCAGCCTCTCGTGCAGCTGTAGGGGCGGATGTAAATTTTTTACATCCCGCGCCCTATGCGGTAGTACCGCCCCTTGCGCGCGGTAGTACCGTGAGTCCTGGTCTGGCTCAGTAACACGAGCGGAAGTAGGGGCGGATGTAATTTTTTACATCCGATCCCTGCGCGGCAGTACCGCTTGCCAAGCGTGGTAGTACCGTGTCGGATTTTTGCACCGTTCGATTTTCAGCGGAAGTAGGCACAGATGTATTTTTATTCATCCGTGCCCTTCCCAGTCTAGTCCATTCTGGACTTGTGGTAGTACCACAAGGAGGAGCGGTAGTACCGCGTCAGCGGCAGTACCACTCTCAGCCTTG